CTCCCTCTCTCCCTTCCTCTCTCTCTCCCTCTCCCTCTCTCTCTCCCTCTCTCTCTCCTCTCTCTCTTTCTCTCTCTCCCCCTCTCTCTCTCTCCCTCTCTCTATAACGAATCGATTTTCCATAAAAGAGTTATTCATAATGAATGACAGTGACGTGCAGTGTACAGGCTACAAAAAGAAGTGTCAAATATTGTTTCCCAAAAGAAAGATATCCTTCAATCGTTGTTTGGTTAGTGGTCCTAATTTTTAGATAAGAGTACGGAGGCATGTTTGAGAGGGTATATTTTTAACCCTCTCCCTATCAGTTACTTTATAGGGTCGAAGGGGCCTCCAATCCAGAACACGGTAAAATAAATGTTCTTTGGAGTTCTTTGCCGCCATAGTGGGAAGTGGGTGGGTAAATGTCATAGGATGGATAGTCGGTTGGGTTGGACAATTTTGGCCGACAGTATTATATTGAGGTGACCAATTTCATTAGTTCTGAACAATACAGTCTAACTCTAACTGATCTAACTAACCCAAGCGTTGTATTGACCAATGAAACAAACCTCTCTTGGATGAATGGCCTATTCTTGACTGAAGGATTTTGGATAATAGTAGAATGAGGGCCTTTTTTGGCAGAATGTTAGAACATGTAGGCTATTTGTTGTGTGGGTTTTGGCAAAATGAGATCTCGGGATGTCGAGGCATATTAGTCCCAAGATCGACCACCGTTTATTTGTTTTGAATATCTAGCTCACTTTGACTTCACATGTCTACTGTTCTTTAGTTTTCTTGATAACGTTTGATTTATCGAGAGTTGGTACCAATGAGTGTTATAACGTATACGTTCCATGTATATTGTGAATATAGATTATCTTTTGCTTCTTTCTTGCCCTAGTGTTGGATTGTGGGCACAGCTACAGGATCAGGTGTGTATATTCTTGTGTGATGTGATGTGTGATGTGTTGTGTGATGTGTGGTGTGGAGAGTACGTCATTCTACTTGTGAGACAGTTGTGATTCCTGTGCTGCTATAAGCAGAGACATTTTGACTTCTTTTTTTATACTTTGCCAATTTATATGAGATAGACGCTATCTGGTTTGTAGAAAAAAAGTGCATACGATTGTGTCCAATAGTGCATTACGTGCACACTTAGTATGACAAGTAACTGTTACAGATAGAGATTCCAGGATTATAGATGTAAGTCATTGATCTGAGAGCAATTGTGATTTTAGAAATAAGGATGGTGATGAGTGATGGTGTGGGATTGTGTTTAAGTGATGTTAGCGTTAGTGCGTTAGTGCTATCTTCCTCTGCTCCAATGAGTCACAAGGGATGTGGGCACCCTCTATCCCGTTCCCTATTGGAACCATCTTTACGGTCACCGTGAAGTTCCGAAATGGTGGGCACAGTGTCTGCTAAGATGACATTGTTAGTGTTAGCCTATTCTATCGGGCCAAGAGAGACAATTTGATCTATTTCTATTTTGCCTTCTTACTGTTACATCTGTAGAGAGGTCAAGGGGAGGGAACAGGGTGTGCCTTTTTCCGGGTCCCATGGCTTTTCATTTATCCAGCGTGTGTGTATGTGTATGTGCGCACGTGTGTGTTAGTGGGTGTATGTGTGTGTGTGTGTATGTGTGTGCATGTGCATATGCGTGTGTGTGTGTGTGTGTGTGTGTGTGTGTGTG